GGGAAAGACAGGAATCTAAGCCTAGGTGTACTAGTACCAAAACCTGATCCCAGTTGTTTTGAAAGAATAAATTCTGAAAAATAGCCTGTAGACAAGGCATTGTTTCAAGAGAAGAGAGTTGACTTGCTGTATTTCTCTGTGTCACTCCCACAGACTGCTGCAGCTTACTGATATTTTTCTGTTTCTTGCCTACACTTGTATCATTCACTCATAGAACAGCAGGTGAGTCTCCTAGCATCAGCTCCTACTACAGCACTTGCTAATGCATACAACCTGACAGTAATTCCTGTCAGACCTACTCAAATTCTGGGATTGCTGTTTTACACTAGATTTACTTCTCTTGTCATATACAAATTTTGTTAGCAAGAAGTGGGAAAGAAATGCAGGAGAATACTGCTATACAATATGAATGTGAAATTGAGCCACTGAAAAGGACGGAAGTTATCTTTTTAAAACTTTCCCAGTAGTGACTAATACGTGAAATGACTTGGAGAGAGTTTGTGAGGTAAGAGGCACAATCCTTGCAAACACTAGAAAAATGAAAAGGAGGTGGAATATACACGTTATGATAGTATTTATTAAATAAACAGATAATACAGGATTTCACATTAGAATCTACTACTGCAACATCCAAAATAAGGTGAAAAATGCCTTTCTTTTAGATGAACTAGGTGGCAGGTGGACAGGGACAGTTCTAGATCAGTGGCTTAATGAGCTATAATATTTATAAACAGTTTACGTATAACCATTTAATTTTACGTACGGCGTATTTATAACCAGACGATCCCATTGTCCTTTAATATCATCTTCAGATGGCTGTTCAGTTATGTATAGTCCGTCAAATTCCAGCTTTCTAGCTACTTCCTTTTCTCTCTTGAATACAACCAGAGGGACCTATGAAAATGACAGTGGACATCTTTGTCATGGTTTATATATTTTTAGAAACCATGATATCGACTTACAGTATTAAGCACTCTTTATAATACTATATAAGACCAAACATCACACTAGCACCTCCCACAAGCAGATCAATGCCTAGCCACTCTCTGAGCAATGGCCATTTTGGAGGTCAAGCCCCTTCCCCTTGCTCCCCCGCAATTTTTATTGCTGACCATGACTTTACATGGCATGGAATATCCCTTTGGTCCACCCAGGTCACCTGTCCTAGCTGTGCCCCCTCCCAACTTCTTGCCCCTTCCCAACGTACTCGCTCAGGGATGCACAGAATGGGTAAAGCAAAGAGAAAGTCTTCTCGCTGTGCAAGCACGGTTCAACAATAACCAAAAGGTGAGTATGCTACCAACACTGTTTTAACCACAAATCCAAAACACACACACTGCTATGAAGAAAGTTAACTCCATCTCTGCCAGACTGAGTAGATGAGGAAAACATCTACATACTGAATAGTGAGAATTTGTAAACAACTAGGTACAAATAGGTATTCCAATATTGCTCCAAAAATCACATTGGGACATAGCAACGTGCTTTAACAAATAATAGATTACTAATAAGATTCAGAACTTGCCTTTAAGCAATAGTATCCAATCACACAGACAAAGGAGATGATAGTATGAATAACTGCCAATGCTCTGAGAGCAGGTGCCATGTAACCTGTACTTTCTTCTAAAACAAAAAACACCATGCCCTCTTCCTCTTCGTCTTCATCAAAAGAGTTCCAGAGATTAGAGTCTTCCTCTACTTCATCAAGTGGCTCTTCTGTCACCTGTGAGAAATTCAAGCACATTGAAAACACACATTAAACTTAAAAGCTTTTTCTTTACTAAAATGACAAATGATGTTTGCAAAGCCTGCTTATGGGAAGACGATAGACCATTAGCTTTGAACAGCAATGTCCTTCATTTTCACAGCAGAAGCCTCCACATCATCTCATGTCACTGAAAGAGAATCTAGAAAAAGCAAGTACAGGCATACAACAGTTTGCAAATATCTCCTTTAACAGTGTCATAGCAAAACCAAAACAAACAATGAAAAAGTTATGCAAAAATGTCTTCTTAGAAGAACCAAGCAATGACAGGGTTATCTAATATGACTGAATTTAGGGTTTGTTTTGTAATCTATGTTGTTCCTTATTACTAGAGTCTAGAAAGAAACAAAGTTCTCATATTATCAACTTGTACATTGACCATAAATTTTTATTTCATTACTTAGTTTAAAGCTTACAAATTAATACAGTATTTAATCAGTATTTCATAAATACCCCAAGCCATAAAGCTGACATACTGCCCTAAATTCTTCCAGCAACTTTAAAAATCTGGCCTTTAAAATAAAAGCCCTAACTGCCCTTCTTTTCACACCTCTATCTGAAAGCTGACGTCCTGTTCAGTCCTGTTTGGCTCCCACTGAGCCTTTCCTATCTATGATAGATGGACTTGTATTGATAAACACAAACTTTTGTCCTCACTCTGCAATAGAATGGGTTGTTGGCTGACCCACAAGACCCAATGAAAAGCAGAAGAGAGTGGGGAGAAAAGGACTGGCATAGACAAAAGCAGACTTCTGCATATACCTTTGAAGTCCATCTTCTCTAACCATTTGGGATGGAAAGAGAGAGGCAAGAAGGGAGCCTGATGGTCTTTCTCCTGGAATAGTGCACGTACATTCTACCCAGTTTTCAAGAGCCTTTTGCGTCTTTACCTGCCCTGTCTCCGAGACTATAACTGTGTTGTAGGAGTTGCTTTTCAAAATATTTGAGATCAGGATTCTAGACTAAATGTTCAGCTTTTGTCTTCTCTGAAGTTTTTGGTTGTAAACAACAGAACTAGAAAATGTAATATTGGAAAACACAAGATTCATCAGCTTATTGCAACTTGCACCCTGTATCTATAAGAGGAAAATCAAAAGGGCCGGATTCCAGGGTAAAGATAAATGTGGACTTTTCTTACGGACTTCAAATCTGTAAGGAAAGGGAAAAAAATGAGGCTTTTATGGATGGGAGTTCTCTTTAGTGAATTCTACCCTTTTCATGGATAGAGGTTGTGAAGATTCAGGAATAAAATTAGTGAAGGCTGCTAAAGATTTTCTTTGTATCATTGGGTTATACACCAGAACCTGAAGCAATTCACTAGATTCAGGTAAAACCCTAAGATTAATTTTAAAGCATGGATGTATAACATTCTTCATCAATGATACAAAAAAGAACTGTAGCCTGCTATGAAAAGGCTTCTCTTGCTTTATATTTCTTCTGCCTGCTCATACCAATCAATTAAAGTCCCAATCCCAGTACAGAAATATCTTCATCACAACAGTCACTAACAACCATATTGAAAATGACAACAAAGAAAATGGAGCAAATAAGTATGAAAACTGAATTATACTCTCACATGGAAACTCAGAATGGGAAGAAATATACATTTGATGTTCATTAGAGATTACTAAATTCATGAAAATATATGAAAAAAGAAATTAAATAAAGCAAGCACTCCCAAAATGCCAAACCCCAGGCCTGAAAGGCATGAAAAAAAATCATGAACAAATTAAATATAACTAAAACATATGAGCTCATCTAGTTAAATAGAGACATTAATCTGATTTTGAAATTATGTATAAACTATTTCTCAGTCAAAAATGAATGTAGTCAGTAGGGTTCTTTAGAAAAAGCAGAAATATAGTCATTGAGAATAATCAGGTGAACTGAAGTCTCTCAGTACCCTTAAAACAAATGAGAGAAAAAAATGCTACAGTTTTGAAATTTGAGTTATTTTAGTCGGATCTCAAATTTCCCATGAAAAGATTAACAATCCAAACTGTAACAGACTTATGTGCGTAAATGAGAAAATGCCTAGAAACACAATCTCAACTATAAAGGATAAATGAAATAAATCTCTTTTCATTCAGCCTGAGTAAAATAAAAACAGAATAGGTTTAACACCACAAATTTTAGTTACAAATTTAAAATATTATTTTAACTACTTCATATCTAAATGCTTTAGTTCATGTTTGAAGGGCTTGTAATAATGGCTTTATTAAACAAGCCTTGAAACCATCATTAAATATTCCTCTGGAAGTAACCAAAAACATTTAAAGAACAATGCATAATCTTACCTTGTAAAATAGAAGAATAAAGTTGATGGCAAATGCAACAAATAGAGCAAGAAACCTTAAGTTATAAAAATTTCTTGCTAAGTAGTGCTGAAAGTAAAAAAAAAAAAAAAAAAAAAAAAAAAATTAGAGGTGGCCTGTAGCTAATATCAAGATAAGAAAATTAGGCAGCAAGGTTTCTAAGGAAGTAAATACATAATTGTGTTGCCTTCATACACCAGTTATAATGAGCAAGGGCATTTCTTGGCAGCCTATTCTCCCCTTTTCATGGTAAGTGGGATTAAAAATAACGGGCTTAAAATTGCAACAGGGAAGACTGAAATAGAATATTAAAGAAAACTTTCTAGAAGGAAGTCTTGAAAAGAAATGCTAGAATACTGGAATAAACTACTTGAGAAGGTTTCAGAGAGTTCATCATTTGATGTTTTTAAGAACAAAGAAAAATCTTATAGAAAATAGAATTACAGATTCTAGAAGTTAGATTATGGAAAATAGGGAGCTTCTAACAAGGAACTCAAGAGGTTAGTCTGTCCTAGGAGAAATAGGACAGAAATTACACACACAAACACTTTATTCATATAACTCTATGAAGTATTAAAAAAATCACAAAAGACTGAATACATTCAGTCATTTGAAAACTCATGCCAATGTTCCTTTTATGATGACATTTCTCCCTTCATTATTAAATAATGTGTTCTATATTACATAAATAAAAATTCAATGACTAAAACAATTTAAGAAAAACTTACAAGCATTTTTGTTTGATAAATTTCCAAAGCTTTGAAGAAGTTAGCCATAACAGCCTCTGGTTTCTCAATTTTTTGTCCATGCCTTCGCTTCTTTTTCTTCATTTTTCCCTCTTCCAGCTGCTCAGATTGTACTTCCTTTGCTTTATCTTGTTTCTCACCATCTTCCATGCTAGAAGAAAGGTTATCTAAGCAAAAATACCTAGCCAAACTTCTGTATTGTAAATGCATTCATTTAGAAGGAATTCCAATTCAGAAAGTTTGGCTTTGAAAGTTAGTTTTAACACTGGGAGAAAAATGATTGTAAGTAAAAGACTTGAGGTAGACAGTAAACCCAGAGTAAAAAAAGTGACCTTAGTTTCAAATGATACGAAAGAATAGAGTTGTTGAGAGGAGATCAAAAGGGTAAAAAGCCAAAAACCAGGCAGAAGTTACTGCGCCAAGTGTGAAGTGGGTAATGTTTGTCAAAACCAGTGATGTACATATATACTCAATACAAGCAACATAAAAATTTTAAGAGTTCACGTGTATTTTCTTGAGCCTGAGGCTGAAGAAGAGAAATAAAGCTTTTGGGATTTGGTACACAGTATCATAATTGAATCACAGTATCACAAAACGAATTCATTTCAGTCAAGGCAATCACTGCTGTTACAGAGATGAATGAGTAATAACAAGGAAGTTTGCTTCAGAGGGTTGCACATTACAAAATATGTAGAAGATTACAATAGTTCCTCCTATACCACTAAACTGCCTTTATGAAAATTAGTATCAAGACTCTATGTAGTAATACGGGAATTTAGTTACTAAACTAAAAAAAAAGCTGAACTTGCATATATGTAAAAGAATGTTGAGGCATCAAGGTGGTTGAAAGTTTTAGGTATGAGGATAAAGAAATGCAGTGTGGTTCACTTTATCGCACTACTACTGCAGTAGGAACGATACAATGGGTTTCTAAGAATGTGTTTATCGATATTCTACCAAAAAAGGTCCCTGTTGTGGCCTCAGAAATGTAAGCCATTTAAACTCAAATTTTTAAGCTGAAGGCAATTTGAATATGCTGCGAAAGTACTTGAGAGGAGAATTAAGCATGGCAGACAAGAGAAGACAACAGGGAATAGGGAAAATAAGTCCAATAAAATAACACAGGTAGAAACAGAGCATGCTTATGGAAAATAAGAGGTGAAAAAGCCTAAAATAAGAAAATGAATGGCACAGGAGATTTTTAGCGAATTCCCAGATATTTATAAATTGCACTGCTGAATATGCTACTAGTGTCTAAATCAGGAGACCAAAATCAGTCAACAAAGAAGCCCAGCAGTGATAAGATTTAACAAAACTTTTAAAAGGGGTCATTTGACCAATCTAAATATTAACCAACTTAATAGTACATTGTAACATGGTCTAGATAAAACAACAGTTTCTGAAACTGCTTATTTTGAAGTTACTACCTTCATACTGAGTAACACTCATCAACAGGTTCTTCGGATACATGGTCCCCCAAAAAACATAGAAGAGTTTAAGTGCACTTTTTAATTACCAGAAGTGCTCTGAACAATGAAAATAATATGCTTAACATCCCTGCAGGGATTGAAGAAAGAAACAAATCATATCAAAACAATTCTGTGACAATGAAATGCAAGAAAGGGACTTTTTGACTGAAGAAGTATGTTAGACGCAGCCTGAAAGGTAACAGATAGGAAATGAAAATATACATCATAGTGTTGATGGCATACTTTAATGAAGTAACAGAAAAAAAACCCCAAAACCCATTTAAATGCACGTATGTGTGAGCATATGTATATGTGTACACATTCTTGTTCATGTAAGACATACATATATACATATATGTATATACACATACATATATATGTATGCATACATATACATATAAACATAGATACACGGAGATAAAAAAAAGGATACTTTTCAGAAAAGCTACACAAAGTGTATCCGGTCCTAAAATATTGACCCCATTGGCACACTTAAAAAAAAATTAACTTTGGCAGATAAGAGAAGAAAGATAAATGAGGCTGAAGTAAACATTTTAAACATGAAGCAAAATAGAAAACAAAGAAAAAAATGATGTATAGCTTTTGAATATGTAAGAATCTCTAGGAGATCTTTTGCACGGGCCTACAAATATTTTAAGGGCATTCATCAAGCTGCAAGCCTACAATGTGGCTGCAGGTCCAGAAAGACAGCATGCCCCTTAAAAGTAGGATGCTGCTAAAGCAAGGTAAGCATTTTAAAAGTTGTTTATAAGGCAGTCATATGTAGCACGACTGGACAAAGGAACAAAGTTCACAACTTGAGAACAGATAAAACAGCAATAATAAAAATTGTTGGGTTAGTCAATCCTTGTGTTTCAATGATTGACTATTGTTGCCTGAAAATTATTTAGGGAAAGTGTAAATAGTAGTAATGACAAGTTGCAGAGTTTTTTTCAAGATTGATGCTCATTTTTAAAGGTAGTTATGGGAATTTTTAAAAAGACAATGGCCACAGATTTATATATGCAGAATTGTCAAGGGCCACAAAAATCAGGTTACCGTTTCGTTGCCCACTGAGATAGTCTGCTGCTTCTTAGGGACTGTGCTCGTTTTCAAAATACTGATGAGACAAAGTGTACATAAAGTGCTTTGAATACTGAGCACTGCTGGGATTCTTTCTGGCCAAATTATCTAGCATTAGGAAGTAGCAAGGAATTAAACAGGAATTGTGTAAAAATAACTTACTCAGCCTTCTCAGCCTCTGCTTTTCTTTCTCTTTCAGCTTCTTTTGCAATTTCAGATATCTGCAAAAAGTATTTTTACTGTCAAAATGGATCCATTCAAATAAAATTTTGGTAACTTTAGATTCTGTTTTCTAAGAAACAAATCAAATAATTACCACACAATACTTTTATACCACTTTGCACTTTTAAAGTTTTAGATTTTTAAAAATAGACATCTCAGACTAGATTTTAACAGTGAAAACTGCAGAAATTCTTCTGATAGCCTTTTTCAGTACAGTGTTATCAACTAACTAGCCCAGCTGACTGAACAACTTAAAGTAATTATACACGGTTATCAGACAGACTATGTGACCAGTTGAGGATGAAGGTAACTACATCCAGATCATATCCTAATACAAAAGTCACTCACAAAGACTCTGCAGTTACTGATTATGTGGAAAATGAACATCAGTTTGCCTCATTCCAAATATGAAACGAGAAATAATATATCAATGATAGCATCAAAAATCTGAAAAAGATCTTTGTAATTATAAAAATATATTACAAAACCCAATTACTTTGTCAAGATCAGCTGATGCAATTGGAAATAAATATTTAACCAACTTCTACTTGTGAAATGTTTTCTTCAAACTATTTATCTTAGGTGGGTTGATGGTTCATTAAACCTTTCCTGTCACACCTCAAAACCATCTAAGTATGTGTTTACAACATCCCCTTGAGATAAGGAAAAACCAATATACAATTTTACAGATGACTAACTGCAGCAAAGAAGCTGGGGCCTGGATTTCAAAAACCTTTAGGCTCAGTGCTGCAAAGTAAACTCATTTCAAATGCAGTTTAGGTATCTAAGCTTCACTGGAAATCAAAGAGATGCAGGCTCCGAAATCCTAGATTCACAAAGGAATCTAAAGTGCCTAAATTTGTTACTATTCATTTTTGCAAAAACCTATCTTAACTCTTTACCCTCTTCTGTATTCTCTCAAGGTGCTTAGACACCAGTTGTGTATTGGTGTATTCTCCTACATTTCTAGTTAATACATAAATACAGTTATCTAAACTTTTTCCCCAGTACTCACCTGGATGCCTATCTCTCGCACATAAGAGGTGAAAGAATTTATGAAAGAATTTACTAAATCGATCTTGCCTTGCTTATCTCACCTCTTATCTGTGGAACCTCATCTAGTACACATGATGATGGAAGGAACCTCATCTAGTACACATGATGGAAGCATGTGTAACTCTTCCACAAAGTTTCCCCTAAGATCTCAAGCTGGTGGAGGGTAATTCAGAGATCATTTGATGACGCCTAGTTCTTCTAAGGGGTAGGGTGGGGGAAGAATGAATAAATCCCTATCCATCCTCTCCATCTCTTTATCATATGCTCTCTCAGTTGTCTCCTTTCCAGGCTGAAAAGCCTTAACCTACTTAATTCCACACACAAGATTTGTTCCATATCAAGTTTTGATAACTTTTTGACCTCCACTGAACCTTTTCCAGTTTTATCACATTCATTTTGAATTGGGGGAACTTGGTCTTCAAGACACAGACACACTTTGGGTTCATGGAGCATAATAATATTCTGGGGTTTTCCTCTCCCTCTTCCTTTCTCAACAACTCAAAATTTCAGTTTGCTTTTTTGATCTGTGTTGATTGACATTTTCATTGAACTGATACTTCTGTACAACTCTATTATGTTCCCAAGATTTCATACCCAAACAGTAAAATGAGCTCAAAATCCAACATTTTACATATAAAATTATAACTTTTCCTCCCATATACATCACTTCACTGATTTTCATCTGCTATTTTAAGGCAACTTTGCAGTTAGCTCTTGATTTTACTGCTACGAATAACTTAGATTCATCAGCAAACTCTGTTAGCTCACTACTCACTTCTTTTCTTATTTGTGAACCCACACAGCACTCAGCACAGATTTCTGTGGAACTTCACAGTAAAAGCTAAGTCCTAACAATCTTCATCATATACAATTCCATAGGTTATTTTGCAGTTTCTCTGGCTATATGGTAATGTCATTGACCTTATCACTACACAATTGCTTTTCCAGTATATAGAAGTGAATTTCTGTTTCTATCCATTTTTGTAAGTTTTATTATTGTAAATGCTTAAGAAAGACACAGTAACTTCCTGAAGGGAATTTTTGATTCTCACATTGCTGTTTCTTCTTTGAGCTCTACTTAATAGTTATATCCCATGCTCTAACTGGATTACTTGAGCCGTTCACAACGTGAATAGCAATGTCTATAATATAGAATGAGTGTAAAAATTATTTCGGTAAGTTTCACTAGGTAACATATTAAAAGTAAAAGCTGGATAAATTGCATAGCTGACTTCACGTTAATGACTCAAAGTATCTGCATAAATTACTGAATATTTTTATCAGTAGTTACAAACAAATCTGAGAGAAATGTATAAATCCAAGTAAAGCAGAGAAAATTCTAAAATATTTACTCAGTTCTGAAGTAAAAGATTTATTTCAACTATTGTTCAAAATATTTACTCAGACCTGCTAAGATCTTTACGTTAAAATAGTATTTTTAAATACAAACCACATAACATTTATGCTAAATGAGACAGGATTTTAAAAGACTCATTTTTAAGTACACACATAAAAATGAATTAATAAATAAATAAGAAAAATAAATGGAAAAATACAGTCCGATCTAGGCAATAAACAAATCTTGGAGAAAAACATACGAATGAAGAGGAAATAATGAAATAAGAAGTTGTACAACAGAGGTTTATATGATTATATGATAAACATTAAAGTAACAATAAATCCTGGCAAAATTATTTCAAATAATAGGAAAAAAGGATATTTTATTGTACATGATCAGTAAAGCATGTAGAAGAAAGACGATAATGATAAGGCAGTATTATGGAAAAAGTAGATTGTAAAAATAATTGAAATATACTGTGAAAAAATGGGGTTTGCAGAATAAACAAGACTGTAAACCACTTAAAGCAAAAACTGTGCCTAGAAAGCTGCTAGCAATTTATTGCAGTGAAATCTAAACACACTGGGCTGAATTTTTCTGCCACGTAAACTCTCCTGTTTGTTTTTAAAAGAGTACGGATTATAAAGTATGTTCTCACTGAGAACATTTATTAACAACTAACTGGCAAATAATTCAGTTACTAATAGAAAATTCAGTAATATATTTGTATTATTATTATTTTCTGCAAAGAAATACAAAATCTCTTTAACATACCTGTAATCCTTTTTTCTTACGAACTGTGTTTTCCAAAGATGACTGGATATCAGTACCAAGGATTTCTGCAATATCTCCAAGTCCAGCATCATGACCATGTTTTGAGCCACCTTCTTTCTTTGTGTGAATGCCAAAAATGTCTGAGATTATGTCAGTTTCTCCCTTTTCACCCTTCACAAACTGCACAAGTTCAGCTGTGATGCCATGCTCAGCACCTTCAGCTTTTTCTGCTTCCATAACATCATCATGGATTCCAAACTGTGTTGGGTCAGGCATGTCCCCTAATATTTTAGTAACTTTAATGTTTTTGGCTCCTTCAACCAGGCCACCCCCAAATACAGTGCTCCAAAGAATCTGGAAAATTCCCCACACTATAGTAAAAAACAGTTGGAACATCCCTACAAATAGGATCCAGAAAAAGGAGAAAAACACTTTTACCATCTCTTTTACTGTCATCTTTCTAACTTTCCTGTATTGTTTCCTTAGGTTCTTCACAGTGACCATTTTTAAAAAGTTGGCAACATTCTTCTTCACTGCAACACAGGCCGTTGCAAAAGCTGAAGCAGATTCCAGGGACTTTTCTTCTTCCTCATCACCTCCAATATCCATTACATAACAAGGCTCCGCCTCTTCCTCTTCCTCAGGCCTCTCAGATGAATCTGTTTCAGAGATCTGGGATGCTAACTGCATTTCAAAGATCGTGTCTTCACAGAAATTCACAAAAAGTTCCATTTTTTCTTGCTCTCCACCTTCATTTACAACATCAAATATGAACTGCCTTTTGGATTCCTTCACCTGCGGCTTCTCCCATTGCATTCTACTGGATTCACTGATTTCAAAGTAAACTCTTTCTATTTTCTTGGCTCCACCCATTATTTCAATACGGCCAAGGTATGGTTCAAAGTAATTAAGAACACTTTCCGCAGGTTCAAGTAAGCTCTGAAGGCGTGAATCATTAGGCATGTGCTCTGAAAGGTTTGTTAGCAATACTGCTACATTGAATCCAATGTCTTTGGCTGGTTCATGGAATCTTTCCACAAAATCAACATAGTTAAACATATCATTTTCATCAGCTT